GATCGTTTCTTCACGGCGCTGGAGGCATTCTGGCGCTCTACGCCGGCTCGTACTGTGGCATTTACGATCGGAGACTACAACTGCAGAGTCGGACGTCGCGATCCGGCCGATGCGTCCACTCCTGCTGACGTTCTCGGCCCTTTTGGAGTCGGGAATAGGAGCGCATCAGGTCACAGACTTTTACAGCTGGCAGCAGCGTGGCAACTGAAGATATTCAACAGCTTTTACCAGCATGACTTGCGCCATACTGCCACGTGGTGGCACGCGCGCTGGCGCACGCCAGGCGTGATTGATCTGGCACTTACAAGACAACAATGCTGGAGATTCGTGCAAGATGTCAAGGCGATGCCCAATGCTGAGTTTCCCACAGACCACAACTTGGTATTGATGCATCTACGCGCTGCTCCGTGTCGAGGCGCTCGCCTAGCTGCTGCTGCCAGACAACAAGCACTTCCGGCAGCGCGGCGTCTTCCTCGTCTTCACGTTGCTGCTGTCCGAGCACCTGACACCTGCAAGGAGTTTACGAAGAAGGTGAACGCTCGTGTTGCTGCCCTAGGAAATGCCTGCACTTTTGACTCTTTGTCGCAAGCACTACGTGACGCTGGCGAGCAGCTTCTTGGACCAGAACTAAGTGCTCCTCGGGACTGGCGCGCTGGACATGAAGATTCGCTGAAGCAGTTAGCTGCCGCTCGACAGGATGCTCTTGACAGGAACGACGCTGCAGCCCTTCGACAGGCCAGACACAACAGCCGTGCAGAAGTTCGTCGTCTCAAAAATGTGTGGTGGCAACAGCGTCTGTCAGAGATTGAACGGGCCAGTCGCTCGCACAACGCCAGATTCATGTTCAGCGAAGCTAAGGAACTTGGACGCCTCCTCGCCAAGAGCGGGCTCTGTAATGTGCCGGTCGGTTTAGGAATATGGGCTCCTTTAATGCGTCGGCTCCGGGGCTAATTCCGACCGGTACCAAAAATTTGGGCGGTCTAATTAATGCGTTTTTTTTTGGCTGGGGGGGCTTTTTTGGTGGCGGGGCTGTGCTTTTTGCTGATGGTCAATCTTAAGGCAGCCACGACCTAAACCCCCACCCAAACCCCCACCCAACCCTAAAACCCTGGCCCTGAAGCCCGAAAATCTCTTGCAGAAGTGTTTCGCTTATTGGGGCATCAGGAATGAAAATTTGTACTACTACTGTACTACTACTGTACTACTATTCTACTATACCTTGATTATTGGGGGGGGCTGGGGGGCTGCTAGGGTGAACCGCCGAATCGGGGATTGGACCCTAGCTCAAAAGAGGTCTCTCCAGTACTAAAGTTTGTATAAAAAATTAAGTTTTGGGTCGAATCTGGACCGACCCCCCCTTTGGAAGGGTTTAGGGCTTCGGGTTTAGGGTTTGTTATAGGGTTTAGGAGTCTAGGATTCGTTGGGGTCTAGGGTTTGTTAAGGTTTAGGGTTCAGGGTTTAGGGTTTCAGGCGCTGGCTTTATGCTTTGCTTATTGGGGGAATGTGCTCACTGGCTTTATGCTTTGCTTATTGGTACTATTTCTGTACTATTACTGTATTACTACTGTACTACTGTGGTACTACTACTGAACTACTAGTGTACTACTGTACTACTATTGTACTGCTACTGTACTATTACTGTACTACTATTGTTCTACTGTACTATTATCGTACTACTACTGTACTAATATTGTACTACCACTGTACTACTGTTGTATTACTATTGTACTACTGCACTATTATTGTACTACTACTGTACTACTACTGTACTATTATTGTACTACGGTACTATAATCGTACTACTACTGTACTACTACTGTACTACTATTGTGCTACTATTGTACTACTGTACTATTATTGTACTACTACTGTACTACTATTGTACTACCACTGTACTACTGTTGTATTACTATTGTACTACTGCACTATTATTATACTACTACTGTACTACTACTGTACTACTATTGTACTACGGTACTATTATCGTACTACTACTGTACTACTATTGTGCTACTATTGTACTACTGTACTATTATTGTACTACTACTGTACTACTATTGTACTACCACTGTACTACTGTTGTATTACTATTGTCCTACTGCACTATTATTGTACTACTACTGTACTACTACTGTATTATTTCTACTGTACTACTATTGTACTACTGTACTATCATTGTACCGCACCAAGCTTCATACGTGGTCGATTGTGGGTGGGAGTGTGGGAGTGTAGGTTAGGGAGGCAAAAGTGTTCAAAATGAAGGGTTTTTAGTCTTGGTAGTAATCTTGGAGTGATCGGGGCTTGGTTTCCAGCATTTGGTGATCCCCAGACCCCCCCGACCCCCGACCGCGCATTCGCGCAGAACCGCAGACCCTGCACCCAAGCCAGCCCCCAAACCCCGGCACCTCCCAATTCCCTGCCACTCAGACCCCTGACCCCTGTCCGGGGCTACCGGTTCCATACTAAACCGACCGCAACTTTTTGGTCGGGGGGAGGGGGGGGGGGAGATCTCGGCGCACTACGAGGAGCTACTTAATGTGCAGCGACCCGTGAGCAGGCCCGCGCTGCAGGCTTTGCCTGTTGCAGCCTCCCCCTTGGCGGATGCACACTGGACCGCGCCTGACTTGGACATCATGCGTGCAGCACTCGGCAAGCTTGCCAACCACAAGGCCCCAGACTCGTGTGGCATACATGCCGAGATGCTTCGTGCGCTGCAACCGCTACCTGGGCAGGACGACACGGCGCTCCGCAAGCTTCACGAGTTGATTTGTGCCTTCTGGGTCGGCCGCACGCCGCTACAAGAGATCACTTCATGGTACAAAGCTATTTTGATCTCCATCTACAAAGGCCGTGGAGACTTCGAGGACCTCCAGAATCATCGTGGCATTTTGTTGATTAGCATACTCTCTAAGCTTGTGGGACGGCTCATCAACGACAAGCTTGCTGCGGTCGTGGACAAGGTTTGCACCGACTCCGAGGTTGGCTTTCGGCAGGGTCGCGGTACAGCTGACGCTACTTTCCTGGTCCGACGTCTGGTGGAGTCTTGGCGTCGCACTCAACCTGGCGGACAAGAACCGCCGCCGGAGGTGGACCAGCTTTTCTTGCTCTTTGCTGACTTGCGTAAGGGATTTGACGCAGTACCGCGCAACGAGCTTTGGTATCTCCTGGAGTTCAAGCTCAATGTGCCTACACACGTGGTCAACATGCTCAAGCAGGTCCACACTAACCTCACTGCGCAGGTCTGTTCCCGTGGAGAGCTCGGCAGGCCCATACCGCTTGCCACTGGTGTGAGGCAAGGCTCCGTCGAGGGCCCAACCCTTTACGTTCTTTACTACTCGCTGCTGATGCAAGAATGGAGGCGACGCTGTGACAACCAGTTTGGACAACAGTGGGGCGTGCCTTGGGTGAGCTGCAAAGACGGAACACTCCGCGAACCGAGCCGTATTCGCAAAGCATTCACTCAGAGCACGTCTCTCCGGGACTCTGTTTACGCAGACGACACCCTCCTGATGGAGTCCTCGTGGCAACGCTTCCAGCAGACGGTCATGTTGTTCGACGCTGTGCTTCGCGATTTCGGGGCGGACTCAAACATAGTCAAGTCTGAATGGATGGAGATTGCGGGCGCCATCACGTCGGCGGCTGGACATGATGCCGCACCTCTACCTGGCTGCCGAGTCCTACGTGTGCGCGGTCAAGGAGTTCCCAAGACAGGACTTTTCAAATACCTCGGCTCCTATATCTCCATAGATGAGACGCTTGGCACCTCGGCAGACGTGGCGCAGAGGGTTGGCCTGGCGCAGGCCGCTTTTGGCAGGCTGCGGCATGTGTGGAATGCTGCTTGCATCACTTTTCGCACCAAGGCTAGACTACTGCAAGCTTGTGTGGCAACCATTCTACTCTTTGGCTCTGAGCAGTGGGCGCTTCGTGCGTCGCATGTGCGCTCCCTGGATAAAGCATGGATGTCTTTTGTCCGCCGCTGCCTACGACTCTCTTGGCAGCAGCAGCGTGATCAGCGGTTGTCTCATGCGGCCATGTTAGCACGGCTTGGTGTTCCCTCGATGCTCACGCTACTGCAACGGCGCCTTGGCACCTGGCTTGGGCACATTGCTCGGATGGAGCCCTCTAGTCGGCTACCTAAAGCTGCGCTTTTTGGCACTTTGTCACACCGCGCTTTTCCGCCTGCTAGTCGTGCCCGGACAAAGGGACACTTTGACTCACGTGCCAGAGCTGTGCTGACGCAGATGTGTGATGTTCGGATTTGGGCTAGGTCTGCGCAAGACCGTGTGGCTTGGAGGCGACCGGTCTCTGCCATTGACATTCCCCCGCAGAGGCGACAGATGGCTGCGGATGAGGCCTACGCTCTTCGACCAGGACGAGCTCGCTTCCCTGATGCGCCTGGTGCTCAAGCAGTGCCACTCCAATGCCCTGTGACTGGATGTCAATATGTTGCGCGCAATAAGGCGGGCCTCTCGCATCACCTCAACGTCAAGCATGCCATTCATGCGCAGCATTACTTTTGTCAGTTCTGCCAACGAGGTTTTCTGCACAAAGGTTACTGCACTACTCATGAGAAGCGCTGTGAGAGCAACCCAGCGGCGGAAGCAGGTCCGCCACCTGCAGCTGCGCGCAGCGGTGCGCGCTCTTCTGCAGCTAGGAACCACGTTTGTCAGAGACCAGGCTGTGGCATGACGTTCCTTATTCTGCTTCGCAGCTGGGCAGGCATGAGGCCACGCAATGCCTGGCTAGACCGGGATCTGGTGCAGTACGACAGAGAAATGGGGCCTGGAAGCTGCCTTGTGCCGACCGTGGAGAGCTTTTTGACAACACGCGAGCACTAGGTGTACACAGGCGTAAGTCTCATGCATAATGCTTGCAAGCTCATCGTTGCATTGTGTCGCAAAGTGCGACAGGGCCTTTGCAGTGTCATGACGGACTGGCGTCTTGACTTGATGCATCGATGATCAGGGGATCAAGCTTCGTACGCCTCCTGCTTGTTGGCCATGGCTCGACACGACGACTTGCTGCGTCGCCTTGAGGCGGTGGAGCGCAGTTGCAGGCTCACCACTGAGCTGGCTTTACTCACTGACCGCGACCTGCAGCAGGAGAAGAGCAAGCGCCAAATCATCTTGCACCTACGTGGTGAGTGCTTGGATGAGGTGCAGAAACTGTTCAACGACCACTTGGACAAGAAGGGCAAGGACACTGGTGGCAAAAAACCTCGTGTGCAGCCTGCAGCTGGTGGAGCAGTCGTGACGAAGCAGCCCAGCGTGCTGCAGAAGGGTGCTCAGCTGCTTCTCGGTCGTGGAAGGCTCAGCTGTGGAACTGGTTGCTTGAGGCGCTCAAGAAACGTGCTTCGGCTGCGACTGAAGCTGGACGCTGTCAGCTTGCTGTGCAGGCGGTGCAAGGGCTCTACTCGGTGGAAGGTGCAGCGGTCCTTCACAGTACACACTTCCACACCAGGGAGCCGGTGGAGGACGACAGAGGCCGGGTTTGGCGTGCTAGCCTTGACTTCGCCTTCTTGGAGCACGGCACCAAAGCGCTACAAGCTTTCGCTTTCGAGTTGCAGGCCTTCTCCTACGGTGACTTTTGCTACCACCGCGCGTCGGCCAGGCCAGGACGTGCAGCCCAGACAGCAGCTCGTGCCGCTGGAGTTCCACTAACTGGAGGTGACCGTGGTGGCCGTGGTGAAGGACGTGACAACGGTGCAGCTGACGACAAACGCGACAGTCGTCGTGACGACCCTCGCCGTGGCAGAGACCGTGATTACCGTGAGAGACGACGCTGAGTGCGCGAAGCTGGGGTCGAGGCTCATGCGTGGTGGTGCAAGCTGCGCGATGAGTTTGGGGAGCCTGGAGTTCACTACAAGGGCTTTGTTTTTCTTACTTTACTTTCACTTCTTCTTTGACAAAGTGGAGCACTTTCTTTCAGCTGAAGTTTTGGCGACGACTGTCGCTTGGAATACGCCTTTTCATGGCCGTGGGGCTACAGGGTCATGGATGGATCGTATGTTTCACTTTTTGGCATTTCATGCTCTCTCGAGGGCGACGAAGTCTACAGCAGCAGCACCACGCGGTGCCGAGCTCCTACGGCTTGGTGCAGCCCGGGGTCCAGGCCTGCTTGAGGCCAGCCTAGCTACCTCGACGTCCAAAGAGGTCCGGCATCTTGGCAGTCGGACCGGCACCTGTGTAGAAAGCGTTGTGCAATCCGTTGCTGAGAGCTCTGATGATTACTGCTTTGAGGGCGCCAAGCAAGGGAATGATGTGGTCTGCAGTCTGAGCTCGGTCAAACTGTGGTGCATTCCTATGAAGGTGTGGCAGAAGTTAACGCATGCTCTCTATGGTAACTCTGTTGCTGCCAACACTGCAGCGGTCTCGCCTGATCCTTGGAGTGCATACTTGGCCAACACCAAGCAGCCTGCCAAGAGGGCGAAGTGGGAGGATGGATTGACATTGGAGGCTGGCCAACTAGTACAGGGAAGCACTGAGCCTAAGCAAATTGCGACAGGTGCAGTGACCTGTGATGCCACGGGAATCGCCTTCTGCACACTCAAGTCGCTTGAAAGTCTTAGCCAGGTCCGCTCCACCAAAGCGCTTGCAGTGCTGCTTCCTGGGTGCCAGCACAGCCAAAGTTTGTTCGACGGATTTGGCATCAACGCAGGGGCAACGATTAAGGGTATGGTCAGGGTTCATGACGAGGTTTCGAAGGTGATTGAGCTTAAGGGGGTCACCGTGGTCAACCTTGGAGCTGAGCCGGTCACCTTTGCCAAACTTGAACCCAAGTTGAAGGTGCCCACAGATCCCACAGCGATCATTGTTGCAGAGATTGATTCAAGGTACATGAACCCAGAGCTCAAGCAGTCTGTGCAGCGCAATGTCAGGGCTGCCATGCAAACACATGTCATCCAGATGATGCCTGACGAGGTTCACCTGAGCCATTTCGATTTCTTCGGATGGTTCAAAAGGGGGCAAGGGGAGAAGGTTGTTCATGGGGTTAAGTTTCTCGTCCCGGCGAAGTCCCTGGAAAGCGTCCTTGCCAAATCGGGGATGATTCAGCCAGTCTTCTTCAGACATTTCATTGAGACTGGAAATAATCCTGTGCCCAACTTCTCGCTCCAGTGGCAGCGAGGGCAATCTTATGCAGAGGTCAAGAAGCTGGCTTCTTCCACGCAGGGGGTGATGGGCATCATTCTGAGCAGTGGAGGGCTGGGAGTCAGGGTCAGAGCAGATGCTGTCTCTGAAGTTCGCCGCATTGTTGCACCTGAGGCGCCAAGTTTCACATCGGACAACAGGGGCGTGATTGTCCGAGAACACTGGCAAATTGCAGGTGTACCTAGGGCACTACGTGTTGAGGACCTCATCAAACAGCTGGCATCGTGGGGTTGGCAGCTCGTGCCCACCAAGGCCTGGGCCATGCCGGGTTGTCCCCAGTTGCTGGTATGGCTCGTGGGAGCGTAGGCAGGCCCGCCTGAGAAAGAGATCGCACTTGATGCGCACAAAGCTGTGATCCGCCCTGCTAAGGTGATGACAGGTAAAGGTAAGATGCACAAATCTAAGTCGCCACCGGTAGCATTGCCAGCATCTGTGCCAGCAAGTGTAACCCCACCACCAGGCCTTGCAGCTGCAGCCTCATTGTCGCAGAACCGTGCTGAGACCAAGCAGGCCACGAAGGAAGTCAAGGAGTTGACTACACGCCTTGATGAGATGGAGAAGCGTCAGGATCGCCTTGAACAGCAGGTGAGAAGATCGATGGGCTGTCTGCTGACATGAGTGCCAACTTTGGTAAGTTGTTCGCCATGCTAGGGGGCAAAGAGCATGATGCCAACAAGCGTTTTCGGGGGGAGGGTTCCGGACCTCAGGCAAGCTGAAGAGGACCTGCGCTGCGGGGTCCAATCACTTGTGCACCATCAACCATCTTTTACGGCGCAGTTACGGGAACTGCGTGAGGACATTGCTTCTCTCAAGTTGAGTTCGCAGTTGCTCTCGAGTAGTGGGGTTCCATTCTGTAGTGGGGGAGGCGGTCTGGTCGTAAGCACTGCTGCCTCAGGAGTGATTCCAGTCCCGAGTGACGGTGACTGTCTTTATCACGCTTTTTCCGCTTCTTTGCGCTCTCAGGGCTACAACTGTCCAACGGGGCCCCATCTCAGACAGTCTGTGGCGTGTGAGCTAGAGCACAATCCGCTTTGGAGGGGTAGGTTTTTCTTTCGCTCGGACAGGCTCTCCAAAGTTGAGCAGATCCGGCAAGGGGTTTGGGGGGACTCGCTCTCCTTAGAGGTTTTGGACAAACTTTTCCATGTGCAGGTGCGCGTCTACTGCCCGCTCGGCAATCTGCTGCAAACTTGGGGTTCTGGGCCAGTGCTCGCGGTACTGTACAATGGGCATAATCATTTTGAAGGGCTGCTGCATGCGCCGTTGGCTGCACCTTCGGACGAAGCTTCGAGGGATCATGTACCGATAAAAGACGACTCTGTTTCTTTCGAGGGCTCTGCTCGGAGCGCGGCCCGGTTGCCTTTCTGCCGTGGCAGCTCTGTTGATCATCGTCACGGCCGTGAGCGAGGCGAGGTCAATGATAACGTTGAGGCTCGGACTAGCTTGGATAGGATCCTGTCAACCAAGGCTCCTGAAAACATGCATCTACGAAAAATGACCGGAGACGGAAATTGTCTCTTTCGTGCCTTGACAGTAGGGCTTCATCATGTGTCGGGCGAGCATCACACCCATGAGGAGTTGCGTGCGATGATCGTTGCACGCATCATCGCCAGCCCTACTCTGCACAACCGCTTTTACGACTCGGTCGACTACAACAGTTACATTTCTGACATGTCCAAACTTGGATTTTACGGCGACGAGCTGTGTCTTCACAGCTTTGTAGAATGCCTGAAGGTCGGAGTTTGTGTTCATCATCCGCGCGGGAGGCCGATTTTCTTCGGCGGAAATGAGACTTTCATACACCTTGCGAATAATGGCATTGATCATTTTGATGTTTATGTGCCCAAGATCAGCTAAGGCGCGGCCCAAGCTCCTACAAGTTGTCGTGATGCACAGAATGCTTGTTCTAACGCCCCACTTCAGTGCCCTGCGCCTTCTGCGAGTACCGAACTGGATGCATCAGACGGTGTCAAAAAGTCGGATACCATCACGCTGTTATCTATCAACACCAACAGCTGGAAGCTGCACAAAAACAATCTTTTGCCTACCGCTGATATCTTGATGCTGCAGGAGACACGGTTAACTGCTAAAGGCCAGCGTGATGAGAGTAAGTCTCTCAGTGGCGAGGGGTTTGTCGCCCATTGGGGTGCTGCTTGCAGTCAAATCAGTGTAAACAAGGCTGATAAACGAGTCGCACTTTCGAGTAGTGGCATTGGCAAACAGGGTGGAGTGGGCATTCTTTGTAAGAAGGGTTTAGGCCTCACCCCTACTAGTAAACCTCTCGCTGCGCAAGTGTTGCACCAAACTGCAAGGTGGTGTCGTGCTGCCATACCCCTGGCAAAATCAGGTGCCAAGGCTCATCAGTGGCTCCACTTGGTCAGCTTCTATAACATTAGTGGCAGAGATAGCGGCTATATCAAGTCCCGAAAAGAGAAATTGCTGTCAGACTTGTTCTCGGATTGTGCCAGAATGGGGGACCAGCCCACCCTTATCTGTGCGGATTGCAATTCTTCAATCAGCACTTCGGGAGCCATCACGACGGCCCTCTCTTCAGGTAAATGGTTTGATGTTGCTGCGCATTTCATGGGAGAGCATCCTCCCAAGACTTTTTGCCCCAAGGCGCAGTGGGACGAAAAGTGTGCTACCAGACCTGACATGATCTTTGCCAATCAGGCTGCGCTAAACTTGATTGCATCGTTCCGTGTTGTGGAGGACCTTTCGCCGAAAGGCCATCGTGGTTTGGAACTTAAATTACGGTTTGACTTCGGGTGAGCGACAAGGAACATCATCAAGATCAAATCCCCACGCACTTTGGCTCCCGATCTTAGTGTGGAGGAGGTTCCAAGGTTTGAGGAAACGATTGCGGCGGTTGGGAAAGCTTAAGGTAGGTAGGGCGGCGGGTCCGGACGGCATTGAGGGGGAGTTGGTCAGTGCGTTGGCTCCCAACAATCTGCGCGCGCTTCACCAGTTTTTTGTAAGCGACCCAAATTTAAGAAGATGCCGGAAGAGTGGCAGGAAGCGTATCTCGTCCTTCTGCCCAAGAAATACGGCGATTTGACTCTGTGTAAGCGGTGGAGGGGAATTCTTCTCGAGACTATTCGCGGTAAGGTCTCTGCGCGTATCATTAACGCCCGGCTCGCACAGTACTTTGAAGATAAGCGTATTCTCCCGGAGTCACAGTGCGGATTTCGTCCAGGACGGGGCACGATGGATATGATTTTCTCGCTTAAACTCGCCATGGAGATTGCGAACTACTTGACTTGGCTATTTGTCTGGGTCAGGGGTTGCAGGCAATTATTATTGATATCTACCAGCCTGATTGCACGTTTTGCCAGCAATCTATTGCGAGGAGCTATCTTAGAACATGGATGACAAGAGATTGCAAATCTGCTCTTGTTGGTACTCCTGCCCGTAAAGGTTTGCCGAACCATGTGGTATCATGTTCTTCTAGGCTGGCTGCAACCTTTTGTTCGGTTGCGACAGCTTCGTAAAGTCCTAAACATTGCATCGCCGCTCCGTAACATTGTGCCGAAACAGACTATGTTGATCACGGCAGGTGCTGCCCACTACAAGTATGGATTGGAACTTGGATCGTGTGACAAGAAGTTGGAAAACCAATTGCACGACAGCGTTTTGCAAGCTTTGTGGCGTGGTCGATCGGCTAAATCTGCAGACATTGACTGCTCCTACGCGTTGTCACAAGGGACATCTTTTTGACCGTTTTCAACTTCGGCCTATTCAGCCGTTCTTTGTGGCCCGCCGCCAACTACGGAAAATCCTCACTTCAAACAGCATTGGTTGTACATCTGGCAATGACACAGTTGATGCGGGCTCCGAGTTTAAAGATGGCCGTTCGAGCTTTGTTGGTTTTTGGCCCCCTTACAAGTTGCATATAATCATCCACAGTGGTCTTGGGTTTCACTGTTTGAGTTTCTGACTCCTGTTGGTCATGGATATCCTGTGACTTTTTTTACCAGCACACGGACGGCTATTTCAACCATATGGTTCGTGTTGGTGCTGCGCACATGCTTTGGGCACGAGCATCGGCTAATCGAGAGGAATTACGTGGTTTGCACCCAGGAGTCGGCAAGGTGGGCAACCTTGAAACTGGTTTCGTCGTCTCGCCCTCAAGGATACGATGGTGGTATCTTGCGCTCAATTCTGGCTTGCGCTGTGTACATGCAACAGACTCTTTATCGAACGATCATCCTGGCTGCCCTTGCTGTCAGGAGAAGAACCTTGAGCATTTGTTTTGGCATTGATTATCGTGGCAAAACATCAAACTGCATTTTTGATCCCCATCAACTTCGTGATGCCCTTCTACTTCCACCCCGCACATTGTATGCAGGTATCTTTGCCATCACTCCGCACCATTCTTGTGATTCCTTCGCACACATGCTTTTTCTTGCCGCTATTGGTGGAGATCAACAAGTCGCAGACCAGCTGAGACAACATCACCATCTGATGATTTTGATCCTTCAAAATTCTCGACGTCGGAAGCAGTCCGCTTCCCAAATGATGTGCCAGCCCTTACAATCTGATGCAAAGCCGGCTGTAAACGCTCCTTTTCGCGATGAGTTTGGACCCCTTCTGTCTACCTCCAAGAGGCCCAATGGATCCAAGTTTTAGTACGAACAGAAGGTCAAAGCGAACGGACTTTCGCAGCAGTCATCACTCACAAAGGTTCGTGTCATTCTTTTGGACGTTGTCAAACCGAAGTTCATGCTGCTCAGCGTGCTGCCTGTTCTTTCAAGAACTTGAAACTGGTAGTGTGCCTCTTACCCGTGGAGAGAAGCGAACAGCTATGTGTCACCATACCGTTAAGGAAGAGCTCGCCGTGCTCAGGGCAAATGGAAAAAGAGCGAGGGCGACACTGGACCCGTGATATTATTTCCTCAGTGTGAATGGTGTCACAAAACCGTCAATGTGTTACGAAGTTTTACGGTGCGGCCTTAAGGCCGGCCGCTACACCCCAGGATCGCTTCACAGGGCAGTGCTTCAAGAGTGTTTGGTCACACTGGTCACACCCCAGTCCTTGCCCGCGCAGTGGCAAGCCGAATGTGATTGAACGAATCAATGCAAGCATGTGCAAGCCGTCCTGTGGAGTGCTAGATGCATGTTTGCATGTTGTTTTTGGGTTCTCGCTGTACCGCAACTGCCTGATTGTGATAATCACTTTACTTTGAGTGTCTTTGTAAATTATATATAGGTGTTTTTAATCGTACTTGCATCGGTTATCATATTCGAAGATATTAAGATGATGTCAATAAATATCAGTTTGTTGTAACACAATAAGAGCATTATTCAGA